TCACCACCCCTTGCTTCAAAAATATCGATTCAAACGTATGTGCCACATTAGTCAAGAGCGTCAGGATAATCTGCTGCCGCACTTGCAGCGTGAGCCACACGTCCGCCTCCATCAACTTGCCCTGTTTAATCAGCGCTCGCTTCTCCTCCACGATCTCACTCGGCGCCGAGGGCATCAAAGACTGGACAGTGTGCTCCGGGTCTGCAAGATCGATAAAGGCCAGTGACACGTGCTTCAACGCATCGCCCGAGAACGTCGGCATGGTACCGTTCGCACGCAGCGATGTTAGGTACAGCACATCGTGGCGACTGCACTGGTCCGTCTTAGTAGCACGTGCGTTCATGAGCCGCAGCAAAGCCTTCCCGTTCTCCTCCAGCAACGCACAAAGCGTCAGTTCAGGCGTGAGCAGCTGCGTCGCTTGTGGACGCGTCTCCTTGAGGTCATAAGACTGCGGAATATCAGGCGACGCATTGCGGAGAAGCGACACTTGACCAACAGAAGGGAGCGAGAGGAACCAGCGCATGAACACCGAAGCATTTGCGCGCCAGAAACGAGTCAAGTACTCGGTAGGTGATAAGACTGACTCCTCTGGTGTCAAGGCCGTCGACGGCTCAGCGGCAGCTCCAGCCATTTGATTTGTCAATGGTAGCGGCACTGAAGAAGGTCGATCACCGAGAGCGTGGGATAAAACCCAGCACGTTCAACACGATAAAACGACAAAAAGCCCCGTTCGATGAAAACCCCACCACAGACTGGCGACTCAAATAAAGCAGAAGGTTCGCAAATAAAGCAGAAGACCAAATACAAACGGGTCGGTGAGCCTCTATTTTTGCGGACCAAAAGCTTTCGTCAGCACCAACTCCAGCTCTTCATGCGAGCGCTTGGCCAATCCGACGGCTGGAGCAGCGAGCGACTCTCGGCCAATGTACTCCAGGTGCTGCGTCTTCTTGTCCAGCACCTTCTCAATGTGATCCTTCGCATACATCCACGCGCCTTGGTTCAGTGGTTCTTCTTGCACCCAGACAAAGTGCTTTGCGTTCTTGAGCTTGGCGAGTTCGTCAGCGACGTCCTTGAGTGGAAACGGGGCGAGCTCTTCGATACGGACCAGTGCAATACGCTCGGGGCTCTTGCTGCGGGCGAGACGTTCCTTCGAGAGCTCGTAGAAAAACTTCCCCGAGCAGAAATACACCGTCTTGATCTGTGTCGGGTCCGTGATCGTCGGGTCCGAGAGCACTGGCTGAAACGTGGTGCCCGGTCCCATCTCCGACAATGGCGACGTCGCATCTGCAAGTCGGAGCAGCATTTTTGGTCCCATGACGACCACGGGCTTGCGGAAAGAGCGCTGCTGCTGGCGACGAACGAGGTGGAAGAAATTGGCCGGTGTCGTCACGTTCACCACAATCATGTTGGTGTCGTGCTGGAACTGCTTCCAAAAAGGCTCCGAGCTCGATTCCTGGACTGACGAGCGCGGGATCAGTGCAGGCGTGTCAACGAGCTGCAAGAAGCGCTCGACCCGGCCGCTGGAGTGATCAGGTCCAGCTCCGTCATTGCCGTGCGGCAACAAAAGCATCAGACCCGATTGCCGCATCCACTTGGACTCTGCGCTCGACAAGAACTGATCGATCACGATCTGTGCACCGTTGAAGAAGTCACCAAACTGCGCTTCCCAGATGACCAGATTGCGTGGGCTCTCCACCGAGTAGCCGTACTCGTAACCCATGACAGCAAGCTCGGACAAGTTGCTGTTGGCAACACACAACTTGCCAGCGACATCCGACTTCGTGGGCAAGTGGTGCTGTAGCGGAAAGTAGCGCTCCTCTGTGTCCTGATCGGTGAATGAAGCATGCCTTTGACTGAAGGTGCCACGCCGACAGTCCTGACCGGAGAGACGCACCGAGTGACCTTCTTGCATCAGCGTGCCAAAGGCCATAGCCTCAGCTGTGGCCCAGTCGACACGCAAATCTTCCTTTGATCCTCCGTCCTGCAGTGTCAAGGATTTCTGACGCGACTTGATATGCGTGCGCTGCAGACGGCCATGAGGGCGGATGCGCTCGGGCAATTCTACGGAGGCAAGCCCGACCTGAATCAGCTCGTCGATCTCCACGCCAGTCGCAGGATTGACGTATAAGTCTTCAGGGTCGGGCTGCCTCATACCTGACCACTTGCCCTTGAATGCGTCGATCTCCGTGGGCATGTAGCCACGTTCGCCCGTGACGAGTTTGAGCTCGCTCTCCAGGTGCTCGTTCAGGCGCTCCACGTTCTTTTCCAAGCTCGTGCGCGAGACGAGACCAGCCGCTTCCAGCTCGCGGGCGAACCTGATTGGAAAGCGCTCCGTTTGGTCCACACGCTCGTACATCTTGGGCTGCGTAAAGCGCGGCTCGTCCACTTCGTTGTGCCATGGCGACGGAATGTGGTCAAGTCGATGACGATGTCCTTGTGAAACTCGTTACGGTACGCCACCGCCACACGACACGCACGCACGACGTCTGCAATGCTTTCACCATTGACATGCAAAATCGGCGCTTCAATGCTCTTGGCGACGTCCGAGGCATAGCGCGTACCGCGGCCGTCGGGGTATGTGGTCGTGTAGCCCACCTGGTTGTTCACCACAATGTGCACCGATCCGCCAGTCTGGAAGTCAGGTAGTTGTGACAGTGCCAGAGCCTCCGTGACACACCCTTGTCCAGCAAATGCGGCGTCTCCATGCAACAGCAGCGCCATCGCGTTGGCATGGACATCACCATCGTTCTTGGCACGTACTTTCCCTGCCGCCACAGCGTTAATGATCTCCAGATGCGACGGATTATGCACGAGTGACACGTGCACGTTTTTGCCCGCGTACTTCTTGTCCACTGTCGTGGCAATGTGCGACGAAACGTCATCAATGCCCCGGAAGTTGTCGGGGAACTCCGAGTAGCCGCGCACCTTGTGGAAAATCTTGTGTGCAGGGTAGTCGAGCGACCCGACGAGGAGGGCGAGTCGACCGCGGTGCGGCATGCCAATCACCACGTCCGAAATGCCTGACGTCGTGCACGCTTGAAGCACCGTCTCTACTGCTGGCAGCATGGACTCGGCTCCTTCGCCCGAGTACCTCTTGAAGGACGCAAACTTCTTGGCCATGAAGGTCTCGAACACGTCGGCACGCATCATACTCGAGTAGGCATTGCGCAAGTCGGCAGGCGTCGCGTCGTTTGTGGTGGTGGCAGTCTCCGCCGCACAGGCCAGCCACGCCTTCTCCTCCCTTGACGTCAAGTGCTCGAACTCATAGCCCGTTTTGCCGCAGTACACGCGGTGCAGCTCATCGTAGAGCTGCTGGCCAGTGGCTGCCGAGACCGCAACAACGCGAGCCAGATCTGCCGCGACCAGAGACCGGTCGAGCAACGGGTGGAAGTTCTCAACGGCGAGACTGGCAACGGCCGTGCGTGGCTGGAGCTGCAGTGGATCCAGCTCTGCCTCCAAGTGGCCGTATTGGCGAAACGCCGTCGCCATGGACTGCGCGGCCAGAGCTTCGAGCGAAGGGGCTGCTGAGAAACGGACCTTAGGGACCAGCACCGAGCGGAGCTCTTGGACGGACCAGTGCGTCCGGCAACTCGAGACACGACGCAGCATGGGAGACGGGGGTTGGTGCTGCGAGCGGTGGCTTGACGAATGGACCGGACCCTGTCGAGCTTGTGGAGACTGAGGGAGCTGCTACGTGTGACGCCACGTGGTGCGACGGTAGTGTCCAAACAGATACTACCGACTGTCGATGGCAGGTGTCGGCCGGTGATGGAGGTCCGGGGCCGAAGTGCCTGCGGAGAGGGAGGGAACCAACCGGGAGGGGAATCCCGGAATCCAATCGCAGGATAGGACGGCCACTGACCGCATACAAAAGACGAGATGATTCGGCGCCTTGAAGTGCAGCTCGACCCCACCTGGTTCCTCACGGAAGGGTGTCGAAAGCCGTCCAGTGCATGCGTCCTCCCCTCCCTCTTGGGCTGGGTTCGTTTGCTTCCACAGCAGCGCTGCAACTCGGTCACGCCCAGTCACGTGATGAGGACGTCCCAGCAAGCTCTGATCAGTCTTTCGACAACAGGGACGGGCTGAGGAGCAGGGACGGGCTGACTCGTCCCTCCAGTGTCGCTCACGTCGGAAAGAAGCGCTGAGTGAGTCGTTGACAGGCTTACAATCCAGTGGCTCGGTATCGATCGCCCATCCACGTGCAGGAGACCGCCATCTCCTGGACGCCAGTGACAGTCTAAACGTGCTGAGGCAGGTGACGTGTCCCGCTTTCCTCTCGACTCGTAGCTACAGTTCTCACTGCACTGCTGTCGTTTACGCCGTGGTCATACGCGGGACCTCCCACTGCATCTGATCCGCTGTCGATCTCACAAGCACTTCCTTGCACTTGCCCCGAGGTGATGAGCCAGAAGGCAGCAAAAGCTTTGAGCTTTTCGTCAACGACGTGTAGACTGCAGACTGACCAAATCTGTCCGTCACCGTCCTGGGGTCACCAGCCCACAGCCTCGTCAACGACATCCGGCTACCTTCCTATCCGCTTGTAGCTCCTCACATGACTCAGTCGTGGTTCAAGGGGTCAGACAGAGAGACACCAATGGGTCAATGAGCGTGATCTTGAGTAATCAATCGGTCCGTCCCACTCTGACGTCCACTCGTCAGTCAGTCGGTCAGTCAGTCGGTCGGTCCGTCGTCTGTCAACTTGACCGCAGGTCGGAGACGTGTCGTGTCCTTGCACTTGACTCAGGTGATCCACTCGTGTGATCCGCTCGGCCGCGTCTCTGTTGCAATCAACGGGGCAAGGCGCTTCCTCGTGCTGGAGTCATCACTCCAGCAGACCGCGAATGACATGGAGCGCAGCAACGACGTCGCGTCTTCATCATGCGTGACCCCAGCAGACCAAACCGAATGCCGCGGATCACCAACATGCACAGCAGCTCTTCCTCCTCTTCACTCGTCAACTTGATCTCTTCCGCCCAAATCGATCGATCCTCAACCGCTCAATGTGGTCCAGCGCACGTCACGACGGAACGCAGCAATCGGTCCTGCTGGCAGTCGGTGCACTGACGGCCGTCTACGCCTCGTGGAAGCTCCTGAGTCTGCCTGTGCCAGTGCCGGATCCAGGAATGGAGACGCTCTTCCGACCGTCATCGACACTGCCGATCCTGGGCAACACGTTGGACGTGCTGCTCTTCAATCGCTACCGCATGAGCGACTGGATCAACGACCAGACCGACGCAAGTGGAGGCAAACCGTGGCTCCTCCAGCTGCTCTTCCAACCTCCGTGGGTCGTGCTCTCCTTGCCGAACGACCTCCACGACGTCTTTGTCGACAAGTTTGACGTGTTCGAGAAGGGCGGAGCTCTCCAAGACATTTCCTTCGACGTCCTGGGCAATGGACTGCTCAATGTGAACGGTGCCAAGTGGAAGCAGCAACGTCGAGCTGCCAGTCACCTCTTCTCGACCAAGAGTATCCGGCAGGTCATGGAGCCCGTGATCCGCGAGAAGACGCGGCAACTGCGAGACGTCCTTGCCCAGTGTGCCAAGCGTGGCCAGACGGTCAGCATGAAGTCGCTCTTGGGCAAGTTCACGAGTGACGTGTTCACTCGCATCGGGTTCGGCGTCGAGCTCGACCAACTTGCTGGCGATGTGCTTCTGGACGAGATGCACCCTCTTGACATCGCCCTGCGCGCCGTGCAGAACCGTTTCCAGACGCCCATGTGGATGTGGAAACTCCAGCGGTTCTTCAACGTTGGGGCGGAGAAGCGGCTTCGAGCCAACATGAACATCGTGAATGACATGGTGCGGGACATCATGGTTCGATCCATGAGAGAGGCGCAATCGACTGGCGAGGACCAGCTCAACGTCTTGGCGCTCTTGATGAGGGACAATGCCAACGCGAACCCGCGCGAGCTCCAGGACACGGCTGTCAACTTCTTCATCGCCGGGAAAGACACGACGTCGTTCAGCCTGTCGTGGCTCATCGTGATGATGAACCGATACCCTCGCGTGTTGCAAAAGATTCGCGAAGAGCTTCGAGCCGTGGTCCCGGGGCTCTTGACTGGAGAAACGGACGTCCCAACGCTTGAGGAGACGCAGCAGCTTGTCTACCTGGACGCCGCAGTGAAAGAGAGCGTGCGGCTGCAGTCCGTCTCCACGTACCGATGCACGACTCGAGACGCGACGCTTTCCGATGGCGCTTTCATCACGAAAGGGACCGTCGTGGTCGTTTCCAAGTACGCAGCTGCCCGCCGCAAAACCGTGTGGGGGGACGACGCGGCCGAGTACAGACCCGAGCGCTGGTTCGACGAGGCAACAGGAGCGCCCAAGAACATCACGCCGCCGCAGTTCATCACGTTCAGCACGGGACCACGCAAGTGCATTGGCATGCGTCTCGCCATGCTCGAGATGAAGACTGTCATGGCCGTTCTCTTCAGTCGCTTCGAGATCGAAACAGTGGAAGACCCGTTCGAGATCACCTACGACTTTTCCTTCGTGCTGCCGGTGAAAGGCCCGCTGGCTGTGCGTGTCCGTGAACTCGCCGCATGCTGCGCGTAGACTTCATTCGTAGCACTCTGGTTCTCCCATTGCACATCAGTGAAGGACTTCTGTATTCTGACGCAACACATGAATGTCTGCAACGTGGTCGTAATGCACCGGATGTAAACGGTAGTTCGTGTGGCTCCATCGAAGGTTGTCGTATCATGGAAGAACATGGCGTCCATGGGAATCAAGCGAAAGGAGGCTATTGATGCAGGAGCGGCTATTGGCCTGGACGTAGCGTGTACATCTGAAGCAAGCTCTTAATCGATCACTTTCTCTTTTGCAATCTCCAAACAACATCGTCGTTTTCATTCTTATCACGTCATGAGACCAAATAGAGCTTGCGCCATGTCCAACCCAACGAAAGAAGGTCATCGACAAATTGCACGGTGAATTATACGACACGGGTACACTACATGCGCGATGTGCTCCTGACGGAGTCGTCATGGAACGTCGTAAGCGCGAGTCGGCGGCGACTTTTACCGCAACTCGAGTCCAGGACAAGTAGGTGCGGAAGAACAACATCGACATAGGCCTGCTACTTTTGCACATCGAGACAGAGTGCCATCTCCTAGTGGACGACTACGAAAAAGGGTGGGTCGCCTGGTCACGTCTCGGGGCTCTTAATGTGTGATCTTAGAGACCGCCCGCGTCTACCTGAATCGTCAATTTTTTGCATGGTCATGGAAAAAGGCGACAATCTGTTGCACTACTACAACGAGTTCCCTAAAATACATTTCAATATACAAATTGTCCGTACTGGCGTCGCGATGGAAAACGAAGAGGCGGAAATTTGTCTGCTGCGCAGTTTGCTGGAGAGGTATGATGATGTCATGCGGCACGTCGAAATAATCCGACAAAAAGGCTTGTCTTGATAATTTCGACGCGCTATCAAAGCACTCAACATTGCAAGCATCAAGCGCTCAGACGAGAAGGAGAATGTTAGAAAGATGACACAGCGAATGGAACGGGATATGTAACGGGGCACCCTGAAGCTTGTACTGATGACAGTACAAGCTACTTATTCTGATGACAGAATAAGGCGGTGTCTCGTGACTTCACGTACACTCGTACGTGCAGAGGAAGACGGTAAGAAGAAGCGAGTACTCGGTTAAAGTAAAAAGTAGAACTGTATTTATAATAGTTAATGTCTGCAATAAATCACTATTTATCTTCATCTAACTATGTCTAAATACAAATGTGTAAATCAGTTATCTGCTCACCACTCATTGTGTAGCGGGGTGAATCGTTACATAACAATTTATAAGAAATTGTTAATAGAATATAACTATAAGAGTTTAATTCTCAGAATATTATCATAAGGACAAATATTCTGTAGCACTTACGAGTAGTTCCTAATTGGTTGATATATGCCATTATATCAACCAACGAAGACGCGCCACGACAGACGCACGCAATGAGTGGTGAGCAGATAACTGATTTACACATTTGTATTTAGACATAGTTAGATGAAGATAAATAGTGATTTATTGCAGACATTAACTATTATAAATACAGTTCTACTTTTTACTTTAACCGAGTACTCGCTTCTTCTTACCGTCTTCCTCTGCACGTACGAGTGTACGTGAAGTCACGAGGCACCGCCTTATTCTGTCATCAGAATAAGTAGCTTGTACTGTCATCAGTACAAGCTTCAGGGTGCCCCGTTACACCTGGTAGCACTTCGTAGTCCGTCCAAGGACCACGTTCACATCCAACATGAATATGTTGGATGATGAAGATGACCAAAGCTTTCACGCTACGCGTGACGGCTACTCCCATTTGAGCAATGTCGAATGGGATGCGGTTGAACGTATGGGTTCAACCATGGGCATCCATGCTGTTAGCGTCATGCTGGAGGCTCTCGATAGAGGTGCCCAACATGCTACTATCGCCAAGTTCATTCAAAATGAACTTGACGCTGAACGCGAGAAAGTAGCCTTGCTTCACCAACAAGGTTCTCAACAAGCAGAGTTGTTGAGAGAACAGGGTGCTCAACAGTTTGAACTGTTGAGACAGCAGCAGGCTGCTGCTGGTGGGTCGATGCACTCGCGTCGACCCGAGACCTTGAAGATTGACATCTCCAAGTATAGGGGAGTCGAAGAGGACTCCCTCTTGAGATGGTTCATCGAATTGGATGACGCCATAAGGGCGCGTCGCATCGACGATGGGGAAATGCAAGTTGCATTTGCCCAATCAAATCTGGCAGGACGTGCCAAGACTTGGGCACTGGGGCTCAAGTTGCACGACCCATATGCGTTTGGGTCGTTGGAAGTCTTCAAGTCGCGGCTCAGACAAACGTTTGAACCGCATAGAGCTGAGTTCAGAGCTTGAACCGAACTCTTGAAGCTCAAGCAGGGTAAGCGTGATGTGCACGCTTACGCGCAACATATACGACATCTCACGAGTTGTATAAGTTCCAATCCGGTGGATGAACACACGTTGGTTTCGGTGTTCATGCAGGGTCTTGCGGATGGTCCCGTCAAGACTCACCTGTTCCGGCTTGAACTAGATTCACTAGAACAAGCCATTTCCATTGCGGAACAGGAAGACTTCAGTCTGAGACAGGCTCGCGCCAGCTCGACATCATATCGTCAACCGAGACGATATGACAACGGAGGTCCAGAGCCGATGGAACTCTGCTATGTAGAGAGCGAGAAGGCTCTCTCTACAGGCTACAAGAAGTTGCAGAGATGCAACAGATGTCAAAAGACAGGACACTGCGCTTACGAGTGTAGTGCCCCTCGTCCAGTGTCTCGCGACACTGGTCGTAGTGACCGTCCACCCATGAGAAAGGGGCAGGGACGCGGGTCCGTTGTTGGTGCAAAGACGCAACAACGGGATGGACCGTCAAAAAACGGTCAGGATCAGTAGGTGCGGAGCACCCTACTGGTCCAGCAACGTCAAGAGAATTTGTAGGCCTCTTGATGAAGGTTGCTCCCAACGCACAAACGTTGTGCGTTGCTGCTCTAGGTAATGAGGACTCACTCATTACCTTGAAACTCGAAGTGACGAATAAGTTGTCCCTTCGAGCTCTAGTCGATTGTGGGGCGTCCAACAATTTTGTGCGACGCCAATCGCTAGAAGATGGTCACTTCAATTACAGTGAATGTGACACACCTCCTACGAGGATGACGGTACGTCTTGCGACAGGCGCATCCGTAACCGTCATGAAGCGTATAGTGAAGATTCACTATACGCTAGAAGATACCCAGTATGACGATGACTTTATCGTATTGGATTTGGATGACAAATTTGATGTCATCCTTGGAATACCGTGGCTCAGAAGGTACGAACCACGGGTAAACTGGCAACATCGAACAGTAACGATGCCTGCCGCTTGTTCATCAGATGGCCATCTGATGAACGTTTTGGGAGCGTCCACAAGCGTGTGGATGTACTACGAGTGAGTGCGATGGCCTCACTTGTGGTACGGTCGTTAGTACGACTGCACAAAACCTTAGTGTAACAAACGGTTACACTTCGGAGCAAAGTTCCGGTGGCTGTGAGGAAACACAGGCTGCGCCGAAGGTCCACCACTCGAATAAGTCGAGTGGACCGGGACAAAGATGTATCCCTAGCGGGGAACATCTAGAAGAGAAACAATCGATCGCTCAGGTTAAGCGAAACGATAATCCTAGATCGACTGGAGAGTCTTTCGTAGAGGATCTCGCTGTGGTTGCGCAACCACAGCTAGAGGAAGTAAAGGGAATAAGTCCCGATAATACAAATACGGCGGAAATAAGTTCCCCGAAACCCGAAGGAATAAGTCCCCGGGAAGCCGAAGGAATAAGTCCTTCGAAGCCTGAGGGAATAAGTCCCCAGGAAATGACAGAGACCTTAAAAGTCATAGTCAATAACGGATCAAGTGTAGGCGCTTATACACTTGATCTGATTGCGCCTCCGAAGTTGACTTCGGAGATCACTCAGTTGCCAACGCTCGAACATAAAAGGTTCTTGCGTGATCTGCGTAGTGGCAAAGTCAAGCAGATCTGCGTACTCGTCGCTGACGACGAGTGTGTGGCCGACATTAGGTCAGCAACAGTGTTTACTGAGAACGAGAGAGTTCTCAGTAGTTCATCTATGGACGAGAGTGTCCTAGATGAAAAGACACGAATTGAGCGATATGACTCCCAATCGTGGGAATCGCTCAAGACAAATCCTCTCTATGAAGATTTGGTTGAATTCAAGGATGTATTCCCTGAAACTGTTCCGTGCGAATTACCGAAGGACAAAGGTATTCGACACGAGGTCAAGCTTAAACCAGGCTCGAAGTATTGTGTCATGAAGCAGTGGCCACTGCCTCGTGAACAAGTACTTGCGATCGACAAGTTCTTTGCCGATCGTTTAGCTGCGAGGCCATGTGAGGGAATCAACTTCCCCACATAGCTCTCCGACCTTCTGTGTGCGAAAAGCAACAGGAGGGTGGCGGATAGTGCATGCATTCAATAAGTCGAATGCTGCAACGGTACCGGCACAGACGCCGATACCGAGGAAGGACGTAATCATTGATGGTATGTCAAAGAGTACCATCTTTTCGTCCATGGATTTGATGGATGGCTTCTATCAAATCCTTATGCGAGAACGGGATATACCCTATACCGCAGTTAGCACGCCTAGCGGCATGCTCTGGGAATGGCTAGTAATGCCACAAGGGCTTAGTAATGCCCCTGCCACGTTCAACAGATGTGTATCACATCTGTTGAGACCAGTACGAGAATTCGCGCCGAGTTATTTCGATGACGTATTCATCCATAGTCGGGCTATGGATGGAAAGTCGGACGTTGAGGTTCACAGGTACCACGTCCGACAGGTTCTTACAATCATGCGAAAGCATCAATTGTATGCAAACCTCAAGAAGTGTATATTTGCAGCAAGCGAAATACCACTTCTTGGGTGCATCGTTGGTAAGAACGGTGTACGTCCTGATCCCGAAAAAGATCAAGGCGATCACCGACTGGCCTGTGCCAGTCGATGTCAAAGGTCTTCGAAAATTCCTTGGGCTAGCGGCGTAT